TCATCTTAACATGAAGTAAAGCCCATCAGGCATTATTAAATTAAGCTGAATTTTGCAGTATGTCAGCAGCATTTTATGTACATTAATAGCAGAGTTAATGTTCCTTAGGGTATTCTGTTGACAAAAAATGGTTTCAAAGTGGCATTTGGATATAATTTTGTAGTCACTATTTATATTTCCTTCTATTATTGTATGGCTAAGATTTTTATGCTGGTTGTGAATAGGTAAGACAAAATGGCAGCCAATTAGTGGTTTCTGCTCTTTTCTTCTCTGAGTCACTGTAATAAATGTTGGCAATATAGATTTTTATTTCAATTGGCATCATAATTTTTTCTTAACTCTTCAATTTCCTGAGTTTACTACTTTGGCCTAGAATCAGCTAATGCCATCTCTACTACAATTTCTGCTAGTATTAGCAGCTAAGTCACAATAATAAACTGTAATTTCATTGTTGTTCTTTTCACAATAAAGAATCCCTCTTCTTGTCTAAGTGCCCTCCTCTCTTCATTGTTAGTATTTGTTTTATAATGTTCTCTCCTCTGTGTTGAATTTGGAGGCTTTCTTTCTACAGATTATGCATTCCCTTATCAGTTCTTCAAAAACAAATGTTCCCCTCACTTGAGTATCTTCAAATCTTCTTGCATACAGCAATACTTTATATTTCATACATTCCGTTCACCATGTTCCCTTGTCCATAGGCCTGCTTGATTGCTCCAACAAGTTATAAATTGTTAAACAGTGGTCTAAAGGTTTCTTTTATACTTTATATAAAATATTTGTATTTGACTTACACAGAGGGCCTGGACTTCTCAAAATAATTCCTAGTCCACCTGAATTAAAATCACTTAGGGTATTTGTCAAAACTTAAATTCCCAGGCCTCTTCTGGGTGGGAGAGGTAAGAGCATAGACTAGATTTCAGAGGTATTCTTATGCTGCAGTATACTTGCAACATATTTTTCAAAATCAACACAGTCCTGGCGCCTCCCTGGTGGTCTAAGGATTAAGTCTAGGCTGTGAAGGACTGATTTTAATCTCTGGTCAGGGATTAACTCACATGGCAAAGCAGACCTTTCCTATCTTGCTCACTGCTCCCCTCAGCAGTATATTATAGTGTATTTCAGTGCATCTGCCTGTTTTACAGATCCACTGGTGAATTCTCTGACCACTCCCCTCAAACTCCATCCCACACTACCCACACCTCTGCTCTATACCTCTATTCTTCAATGCAAAAAATCTTTAAAAAAATCTTTAAAAAAAATAGTGGAAATTTAATAAAAAGGAAAAAATCGACATAATCCAAACTCAAAAGATCTTACAGGAGCTTTAAGCTGACTAGATTTCTTAAGGATTTATCAAAAAGTTTAACCTAAATCTGGCTAGGAAGCTGATCCTCAGATAGCACAGCAGACCTCTCCTGGCTCACCTGATGCTCCCATTAGCAGTGTATTTCAGTAAATCTGTCTGTTTTGCTCTCTACTCTTATCTCTGGTGAATCCCCTGACAACCCTTTCCCTACCACACACACACATCTCTGGCCTACATCATAGTTCTTCTATGGTGTGTGTGTGTGTGTGTGTGTGTGTGTATAAACACATAAAATGGCAAGGCAATGGTTTAGTCATAAACCTTATTCTTATACTTTTCTTTCTTAATTGTAATTCCCTTTATTTCTCTCTCTCTCTCTCCACCAACCACTCCTATAGTAACTTCAGAATAATTATATAGCATCTTGGGAAAGATACAATATGCTACAAGTGACTGAAAGCCATTGTGTTGAAAACATTTAAGTTCTTTTTTTCCTTTTTTTAAAGATTTATTTATTTATGCATACAGAACTGGGGTACAGGCCAGAGGTGCAGGGGTGGTGAGAAGATTCACCAGAGACAAAGTGGTGTGTAGAATAGGCTGACTAGGCCAACTGATGAAGCATACTACTGAGCGAAGCAGCAGGCGGGTCAGGAGAGGTCTGCCCTGCCATGTGGATCACCTCTGGGGTGGGGATCGAACTCATGCTGAAGTGGCTTTAGCTTCTTACTACTGTGCTTTAACCTGCTGCACCACCAGGGAGGGCCTGATAACGTGTAAGTTCTAATATATTTTTTTCTTGCATCTCTTTTCTAACTTGATTCTAGCAACTTATAAGGAATCTATGTAGCCTGCATTTGAATGATTCTTTACACTTTATCTCCACTATTTTATTTGACTCAAAGAAGCACTTACAGGTCTCAAGTATTATCTGTGTATTGGCATTTAAGAAGTCTGATGAAACCCAAATACAGATATTTGATAAAAATACTTAAGTAGGAGAAATGTAAAGAAAAGTACTTGGTGGTTCAACCAGAACATAATTAGGGCGATTTTTAAAAAAAAATTTTATTTATTTTTGCATAGAAGAGAGGACACACCAGAGACAGAATAGGGAGCAGAAAAGGCAGATATACTGACATACAATGCTAAGGGGAGCAGTAAGCCAGACAAGAGAAGTCTGCTACAACTTATGTGGTGTTAGTTCCTTGGCTGGGGATTGAATTCAGGCCATTCTGATGATAGCACTGAAACTTAATCCCTAGGCCATCAGAGAGGCCTGGTTGTTTTAATTAGATTTTTAAAAATCAATCTATCTATCTTGATGTGCTATTTCAATTTTCAGTAGCAAATATATGTGGGTATAGAGAATCCTGTTAAACTTGAGATGTATTTGGTTAACTTCTTAAAAAAGCCAAGCATAAGTTTAGGTTTCCCACTTACTAGATGTATGGCCTTGAAAAAATTCCTTAGAACCTCTGGAGAACAATCATTTTCTAATTTGTAAAATGGGTGATGTTAAAAGCATTATATAAGTTTATGTTTAATTCACTGGGAGCCTCAGTAGTAATTGTAGTAGTCATAATTAAGGACTATGCATCCAGTTTAAAATGAGAAAATTGTATAAATTGTATAAAACAGTGATTATATAATAACTGATTACAACTAAACAGAAATACCTTTGTTAAGGGAATATTAAAAAAAGTGAAGACTCATTAATACAGTAATTAACTATTGCTTTACTTGTCAAATTTAGAAATACTATTAAGTAAGATCAGATCAAGGACTATCAAACTTTTTAGTCTCTTAAAAATGATACTAACGGCCCTCCCTGGTGGTGCAGTGGGTTAAAGCACAGCACTAAAAAGCTTAAGCCACTTCCGCATGAGTTCGATTCTCGCTGACCCCGGAGGAGATCCACATGGCGTGGCAGACCTCTCCTGACTTGCTCACTGCTCCCCTCAGCAATGTACTTCATCGATCTGCCTGTTCTGCTCCGCACTTTGTCTCTCACCCTCTGCATCTCTGGCCTGTACCCCAGTTCTGTATGAATAAATAAATCTTAAAAAAAAAATGGTATTAAGGACTCAAAATAACATTTGTTGTGTGGGTTATATGTCTCAAAAAGTTTAAAATATGAATTTATTTTTCCAAATGGTTTCATAAGTACATTAACTTTAATCTTCAGAGTCCTAAAATGAGACAGAGGCAGAAATTGCTAGTTCTACTTTTCAAATGATGAAATCAATGTGGAGAATGGATATAAGGTTTAACTGTTCGTCTTAGGGCTACTGGTCTGTAACTTGTACAACTGTAATTTGAACCTAGGTTACCTGGTTGGCATAATTATTGGCATGCATTTAATTATGTATTAAATGGAACACTATTGTTAGTAAGATAGTTAAAAGTGGCTCATATACCTATGCCTGACATTAAGGTGGGCCTCATGCAGACAGCAGAAAACAAGTTTAATGTATTATTTTGCTATTATTTTTGGCTTGATTCTGAAGGGAATCTTTAGATTAACTGAGTGTTCAGGATTCTCAGCCTATAAAAGATAGGAAGTTTGGTGCAGAACAGAGCAGACAGTTGTTGAGCTGAAATGCATCATGCTAGGGAATATGGAAGAAGTGAAACAAACTTTCCAAATCAGTATGAGAGCCTAAAAATTGGTCAGATGCAGAATTGGAATGGAAAGGGGTGAAAGCTGTGTGTGCTGGGACAGGAGGTAGTTAGGGGGATGATAGCAAAATGGTTTATAGTGGAAGACGATGGGTGGTGCTTTGGTGATGGGAATGTCACAGTGACTACACCTGAGGGGTAAAATCCTAAACTGTAAAAACACTAACAAGGATGTAAAAAATGGCACTTCATTAACAATAAATATAAAAAAAGAAAATACAGTAGTCCACCCTTTATCTCTTTTTCACTTACCATAGTTTCAGTTGCAATCACCAACCTACTTCAGTCTGATTTTACAATAAGATATTCTGAGATAAAATCCACATATTTTTATTACAGCATATTGTTATAATTGCTGTATTTTATTATTCATTATTGGTAATCTCATATTGTGAATAATTTAGAAATTAAACTTTATCATACATATGTTAAGTATAGGGAAGAGAGTGTACGTAGAACTATCCTATCCATGATTTCAATCATTCACTGAATGTCTTGGAATAAGTCTGCAACAGGTAAGAGGAGGGTGGCTACTATACTTCTCATATCAATGAAAACTTTAAAGTGATAAATATTGAGGCTACCTGGTAATATAGCATTTAATATTCTATATTAATACATAAGATTACAATATTATATAATATTAAAGTCTTAGGTTATTAATGTAAGTAATGTATTAGCAACTTTGATGATTTTATGAAGAAAGATGCAAAAATCATTTTCAGAAGTAAATATTTTGGAAAGGGGTAGAAAGTTAGTCTCTTTGCTTGCAGTTAAAATGAAAGAGGGTTATATAAATCTTGGATGACAGGAAAAGACAGTCTGAACTAGAGAAGGGAAACATTTAAGCAGAAGGCAGAAGAAAATGCTTAACTGCTAAAAATAAAACACATTTAGTCACAAATTAAGGTAAAACAAATTGGATATGTCTCTACCTCCTCTACTAAAGCTTTTATGTGTTTTTTTTTTTTTTTTTAAACAGTCTCGTTACTTTTATATTTATTGAACTTACCTGACATCCTGGTAATCCAGTATCTCTGCTGTACAGGGAAAACGAGCCCCTTTCTGATGTTTTTCCTATAAAACAAAGAAAATAATATTGGCATCAATTTTAGCTTCATGGTAATGATAATGGGGTGGGGGTTGGAAGTAGAGAGGACAAATAAGGAAAAGATTTAAATAAAAATTTAGAACTAATATCACAGTTTGTCAAATTCTGAGTTGCTAAACAGCATATATTTTACTAAAATAATCTCATGTGAAATAATAAAAAAAATTCAAAAGAATGGATAGCTACATAGCCAATTGTATAATTCCATAAACCTACTAGTGAGAACACTGGCTTCAAACTGAATATTTCTTCCTATCTCCTTCTAGGAGATTTAAACCTCACCCTAGATCACAAAGAAACCATTATCCTAAAGTTTGTATATATATCTGCCATCCAGATTTTTAACTTTCAATATATTTTTATATATTCAGTAATATGCGTTAATTTTTGTGCTTAATACATTCAGATAGAATTACATGATATCTTCCTTTTGAGATTTTCATTTTCATGCAATAGTATGTGTTCTTGAGATATGTGTTGATGATAGGTATCTAGTTCAATTTTGACTGCTATGAAGTGTCCCATTATCCAAATAGGGGAATGCCTATTTAAAAATAAGCAGATTATTTCTAATTTTGTTATCATGAGGTGTATTAAAACATATACCCCTTTAGCAGCTATTTTGTACAAACACTTAAAAGTTTCTCCAGGATAGAAACAAAAAGTAGAACTGCTGGATTAAAAGATACATAATATTAACTTCACAAATATAGCCTTACTATTCCCTGAACTCATCATGGCAAATTTACACACTTCCCAGAAATGTGTAAGAATTCCTACTAATACTGTATTTACAAATCAAAAATCATATGATCAGTGTTAAGTATGGTACAGGCCAGTTCTAGAGGGAGGTTAGCTATCCCAAAGTGCTGGCAATTGGCAGTGTGTTCTCTCTCACTCATCTGTTTTATGACACACTAGAGTTAAAAGTATGTTCAGGGCCCTCCCTGATGGCGCAGCGGGTTAAAGCACAGCACTGAGAAGCTAAAACCACTTCGGCATGAGTTCGATTCCCGCCTGCC